CCCCACCCCCCCCCCCCCCGCCCCGCCCCACAGCTCAGATCCTCTAGAGCAACTGTGTGCCCGAGGGCGAGGGCAGTGGGCACACAGCTCCCCTTGAAAGCCGGCAATGGCAGCTCTGAAAAAGGTAGGGGTGAGCAGGCACCGGCTCAAAGGCCTCTCTCTGAGACACAGCATCAGGAAGGGTGGGGAGAGAGCTGGGACTCTAACATGGGGCCTCCGTGGCCGGGCTGTGGGTCACTTAGGGAGCTGGCCCTGAAATACAGATGGGGTGCTGTGCTCAGGCACAGGAGGCCCCTCCCATCCTGACTCTCCAAGTTCAGGAATCTGACCTCCTCCCCGGCGGGGCTGCCCTGCGTAGGCACATGAATGGCTGGAGGGCTCTGGCCAGGCCGCAATGTGCTGACCGGCAGGACTGTGGCCCACGCGACCCTGGGCGGGGCCTCCGCATCGGGTGTGGCTCTGTGCTTCTCCTGCTGACCCTCCCTGCCCAGAGCCACACGGGATGGGGGTTGCAGGGAGACTTGCGTGGTGGGGAACAGTCTACCCTCAGCCACCATCTTTAGAGGGGGGCCCACCTCTCAAGTCCAGCCTCCCCAGGGCCAGTAAAGATGCCCTGGCATCTAGAACCTGCAGACAACGTGATGGGAAGACAATGCCCAAGCTGGGGACTCCAGATGACGGTTTGGTGCCTGGGACCCTGTGTGCATGACTTGCTCTCTCTGATTCAGTGAGCAAGGGCCTGAGGACCTCACAGGGTCGCCCCTCCACTCAAGTCGGAGCCCTTGGGTTGCAGGAGCCCCCAGCCTTAAGGCCAGTCTTGGCCTCCTTCACCCCTGATGGGACTGACCCTGACCTGGGACGGAACAGCATGAGGCCATGCCCTTCAGAGGGCACCTGAAGAGGGGCAGGCAGTGGGCAAAGGCCTCTGAGAGCCCCAAGAGGAGGGCTGTGGGGTCCCAGGGTCTACAGAGCCACGGTGGGCCAGAAGGAGGAGACCTCAGGCTGTGGATGTGAGAGACCCCGGGGGAACGGTGGGCAGCCCTGCTGGACTCCCAGCCCTCACCTTGAACCCGATGCCACCTTTCTTACAGCACAGGCAGGCCAGCATGAGGACGATGACAGTGAAGAGTCCGGAGAAGGACACGGCCACCACAGCCAGGGAAGACGACCACGAGAGCTCGCTGAGCGGGGCACCATCTGCTGAGAAGGGGGCACAGGAAGGCAGAGCTGAGCACCCAGCAAGGCCCGGCCATCCTGCCCTGGGCCTCATCCCACTCTGGACTCCCATGTTCTGGGCAAAGCCTTAGCTCCAACTCCTGCTCAGCGAAGTTGTCCGGGATGCTGCACCTTGACGAGACCCGGAGCCAGCAGACAGAGCCTGCAGTCCTGTGGCTGACCTCTGAGGACCACTCTGACATCAGCGGGGCTCATCAGCCCGGCAAAGAGGCCAACCTGGACCCAGCTTCCAAAGCAGGGGCTCGAGATCAGGAGCTCAGGGGTTGTGGGAGGAGCCCTCCATTTCTCCCCTGGACCCTGGACACCCTACTCCATTGCTCTGAGGCCAGAAGGGTGACACAGACACTGCCAAGGAAGAGCAGTCATGGAGCTGGCTACAGGCTATGGGCCACATGCTGGGGTCTGGACAGCTCAGGGCCAGGGCCCTAAGTTACAGGCCTATCTTTCCTCCAAAATGCGGGAGCTCCCAGGCCCTGAGAAGGTGGCCCTTTGTGTGTCAGTCGGAAGCTGCTCCAAGTTGTCCACTGCTTGGCCCACCCCCAATGCCTTTGGTGGTGCTGCTTCTGTCCTAGATGCAGCAGGGAGCATCCCCTCGGCAGCTCCTGGTCCACACGAGCTCCCTCATCCCAGAGAGGGAACAAAGGCCCCCAGGAAAGCACAACATGCCCTGCCAACCCTGACTGCTGAGCTAGATGCTAGCTCCCATTTAGGGGTCCCCTGAGCAAGGATGCAGGGACTAGGGCTAATGGGGCATCTGGGGGAGAGCTCCCTGGAGGTGGTATGAGTGCGAGGCCTAGCGAGACAGCCTAGAATTCCCACTCACTGCCAAGATCATTCCTATACCAACACTTAGGGAAGAGAGGATTCAGCAGCCAGTGTAAGCAGGCAGGGCTGGGGAATAAGAGGGCAGGGTCACCAGCTCAGCCTGCACATGAAGACTCACATAGAAGGCAGCCACCCATGGCTGCATCCCCATCCTGCAGGGCCCACATGTGTGGCATGGGCTTGCTTGAGTGAACTTCTCTCACAGGTGTAAGCACCACTGTGTCCTCACACCCAGACACAGGAGTGCAGGTGCCAGGCATGGACTCAAAGGCAGGCGTGCCAAGCAGCCTGGCACCTCCGGGAAGCCAAGAGTGCCCTGAGGCCTGCACTATTGCCAAGGTGACCCACTCTCCCGTCTCCATGTGGTGCTGGAAGTGGCTGCTCCCCCACCTTCCCCAGCATGTGAGGAACAAACTGCCCACCTGGTGGGCTCAGGGACTGGGGCTGGCGCTCTGGTCCCCAAGGGTCATAGCAGGTGGGTCACCCACCCACCCTTTTGAGGTCACTCATGCCTGGTCACGGGCAGGAGCCACTCCACCCCGATCAGAGGGCACAGGGAGGTGGGGTCATTCACGCCACACAGGGCGGGCCAAGAGGCACCCCGCCCTCCCGTCCCTGCGGATGCGAGTGGCAGCGGGGAGAGGACCTAAGGGGTCGGTGGAGGCAGGAGCAGCCCAGGGTGGCTGTCGACCTGAGCTTGAGCTCACATCTGGAGCCCAGCTGGGTGGGACAGCAGAAAGCACAACAAGAGGGAGGCGCTCCACCCCACCCTCTGCCAACCCCAAGGCCCATGGGTCAGGAGACTCAGTCCAGGGCACCAGGAAGCTGGGCTGCAGCACCACACCAGGTGGGAAGCCAGCCTCCTCGGCTTCAGGCTGACGCAGCCTCAGTCACACAGGCTCTCAGCCGCCCAGACACTCTCAGCTGAGGCTCCCAAGCCTCACTGCACCTGCAGCAGCGGGGTCCCGATGGCTAGAGCTGGGCACAGTGCTTTGGGACCCCATCTTACCCCGCAAAACAGCACAGCACACAGGTGTCTGCACTTGGGCACAATGCAGCCGTCACATGACAGGCACCAGACAGTGAGCATGTACACAGACACACGTGCACACCCCACACACACACACACACCATGTGCACATGCGCGAATGCGCACCTGTACAGAGCCCCACAGGCCTGCTCCTTAGGCATCGTTGTCTCCACTTGGCAGGTAAGAAAACTGGCTCAGGAGGGTCACAAACGCACCCCCAGAAACACCCTGCTGATGTTTTGGGAGCCAGGGCTGGCCCTGCCAGCCGGCCCTGCGCTGTCTCCTCCATGAGCTGTGTTGGGGGCTCCACTCGCCCCTCGGGATCCACTCCCACTGGTGGTCAGGAAGACCCACCCTCCTTCCATTCTTGTGACCACTCCAGTCAGGGGCGAGTCTGTGATTAGTACAGGTTTAGAGTCACCCTCTGGGTGCCACAAGGTCCCGGGGACCACCGACCACCCATGCTGAATGTCAGAGTAGAGCCCTGGACCGTAAGGGGACCGGCACCACCTCAAGTGTGACTCCAGGGGGGTAGCCTGGCTGCAGGACACCCGGGCACCAATACATCCTGAGGGCAATGCCAGGCCCAGCAGCTCATAAGAGATCCCGGCGACTCATGGCTAGGGAAGCCACGTGGCACTCTGGGCCAGGACCAAGGGTGTGGAGGTCTGGGCAGAGGTGGCAGGGGAGAGTCAGGCCCATGGATCAAATAAGTCAAGCAGGAGCCAGCCTGGAAAAGGAAGTGCAGACACGGATGGGGCAGCAGAGAGCCCTGGGCTATTGGGCTGGAACCCAGGTTATAAAACCCACGGGATATTTAACATGGGCACCAGCCCTGAGGCCACGTCTGTGTTGTCTGTCTACACACACAGATTTCCTACCTCTGTCCACCAGAGGGCGAGAGAGCACAGACCGGAAACTGTCCCCTCAGCGTTCCCAGTCCGAGAGCCTGCGAATGCCTATCCCTGTAGGCAGGCCTTAGCCAGCTGCACCTTTCAGCCCCCTAGGCCATGCTTGGGTCTGATCAGAGTCTGCAGGCTTCACGCTGCCTGTCTGGACTGTGGCAAGCCGGCCAGGCCACCTTCCAGTCACCTATCTGCATGCTCAGCTGGGCCAGGCTGAGCCCTTGAGTCCTCAACTCATCCATTCGGCTACGTCCTCCTCTGGTCAGCCCTGCTGAGATGCGGGAGGAAGACAGCAGAACCAAGGCCAGAAGGAGGTGGGCGGGAGGCTGAGAGGGGAGAGGGGAGAGGGCAGAGGAAAAGGAGAGGCCTACAGTGGAGCCTGGGCCTCAGGCATCAAGCCTGGCCTCGAATCAGGCCTGGCTCTCATGACTGTGGCCCTGCCTGTGGGGCTCCACCCACCCAGGCACAGCTCCACCCTTGCCAGTGAGGCCCTGTCCCTGCCCAGGGATCCCAGCCACAGGTAGGCATGGCCCTACCTTCACCTGTGAAATCCTGTCCTCACCCACCTCCAGGCAAGGCCCCACCTCACCTGAAGCCCCATCCACACCCAGAGACCCCGCCCACAATCCAACCTCACGGAGGCCACGCCTGCGCCGCCAGCCACACCCACAGCCTCACCTAGGGCCCTTCCCATCCCCGAGGTCCCACCCTCACCCATGAAGCTCCTCCCCTGCCTTTCTGAGGGGCCCAGAGGCCAACTAGGCGCCTGCTCTGCCCATAGCCCTTTTGAGGTCCAGCCACAGGCTTACCCAGTATGACCCTCACCCCCGTCAGGTGGTGATAGTTTCAGGTGGGAGATTCTGCCTGGGGTCCATCAGACAGGAAGTCCCCCCAAACTGGGAGGGAGCAGGTAAGACAGAGGTCAGCATTTCAGGGCAGCCCGGGCTGGAAGAGGGCAACTCTGCTAGCCCTAGCTGTGGGGCCCTGTGGCAGTTAGGCTGGATTGGCTTTCAGGCTCACCCGAAACTGGTGGAGCACACGTTTAAGTGTGTCTGGGTAGGTCAGAGAGGTCCAGTGTTTTTTTATTTACTTACTTATTTTTGAGGGTTCTTTTGAGACAGGGTCTCACTATGCAGTTCAGGCTGGCCCTGAAGTCTCTATGTAGCTCAGGCTGATCTCAAACTCATGGCGATTCTCCTGCCTCAGTCCCCTGAGTGCTGGGATTAGAGGCGTGTGCCACCCAGCCTGACACGGCTTTGGGGTTTATGTCTAATCCTTCTGCCTCTTCCTCTCTGGCATTGTTCCCCTGCTCTTTCCCAGCTACCATGAACCGAACAGCTTTGTTCCACCAAGCCCTTTCAACCTGATGTCTCTGCCTTGGACCCAGGTGGCCATGGACTGAGCTCCCTGAAACTATAAGCAAAACCAAAGTTTTCCTTTAAATTCTGGCTGCTGTGTCCAAAAACTGAAAAGCTGACTAATGCAGACCCTGAATCCCAGCCTCCCCATCTCAAAGCAGGATTCCTTCCCCTCAGGGTTGTCCAGTTCATAGAGGGTCCCACAGAGAGAGGTCTCCCTTCCTGTCAGCCAGGGCTGGCACCCTAGCCTCCCCCACCAGAAGACCCTGTCCCCTTATCTGTGCGCTAGACTTGTGCTGAGCCTGTGGCTGTGTGTGTGCAGAGTGACCACATCCCCAACCCGCGCTGTGTCAAGGGGAGCTAGACACGTGGGCTGGGCCATCTGCCATGTACCCCCACTGTCAGACCTCAACTGTGAACTCGGCCCCATTAACACTGAGCTCCTGGCGCAGGTTGGAGGCCAGGCATGAACCATCCCCCAGAATGGTTCAGAAGGAGCGAGAGACTCCCTGGAACCCCTTCCAAGGCAGGGCCACTGGGGAAGGCCTGACAGGGTGCTGCCCACCCCCAGTCAGGCACACGTCCCCTAGGACTGGTGGCCCTGGGCTACACCCTACCACCACTTCGAGGCCACCAGCTCCCAGGCCCTGACACCCCGGTCTGCTGAGAAACTCACGGGGCTGGACAGACACCTCCTGACACCCAGGGTCAGGTGCCCCTCTCTGCACCCCTATGACAGGGTGGGGGCACTCATGGCCCACTGCACTCCGCCCCAGACCTCCCTGGGTCAGCCCTACCTCCCAGAGAAGACCCTACCGAGGCCATAAAAGTGGCTGGCCAGTCCTT